AACATATTCGGTCTTGTACAGTATGCACGAGATATTTAAACGAGAAACTCCATACATTATTTCATTTAGAGAGTGTACTGGAAATTTAGTTAATAACCGGCTCAATATGCTCTTTATGTTTAACTGGAATGCAAATAAACGAATAACAACAAAAAAAGCTGTTGATTTTTTTATTGATTTCTGTTTCTTTGCTTTTTATTCTAAACTTGTCTGCTCTGCTTCTCTTGAGAAACAGTATCATCCTCATCCTAATACTTTAGTAACTTTTTGTGCGAAATTGTTATATGTTTTTAATTAAGCACAAAGCTACACAATGGGCTATCTGTGCCCTGCCTACCACGAGTATCGAAACCCGGATTCTAGCGTTGTAAGTTCGCAGACATACAGCTGTGCCACTGGGGGGGGGGCGTTGTTATATGTAAACTTCATCAGAACCAGAGACTTGAAAAAACACACTGGAGAAGATATACAGTGTATTTGATCTTATTATTTTTACCTCAGTATATGTACCGTATAGTTTAGGTCTGTTTGTGTGTATACCTGTCTGTCTTCTCGCCTTAACAACACTATCATGTGAAGCGTATTAACGTATTGTTGCTGCCGTTCGAGTCAAATTTGAATAAGATCAATTTCGTTGTAGTCCCTGACGAAGAACTTTATAAGTTCGAGAGTTTGGTATACTTTAAATGTTTCTTGTTTATCGATAATCATTAATTTTTTTCTCTCTGTGAACAATTTGCGTACAAACTGAACGTTTTAACATTACAAAAAATATAACTGATTATTTATTCTAACAACGTCTAATGTTTTACAAATATTTTTCTACAGGGATAAATATTTGGGTATGATAGAATGACGTAACTAAGCAATGTACAACAGTTATAGAAAACGAAGTTGGTGTGCTTATTTTCAGATACACGAAAAATAATTTTCTTTCGCCATCTCGCCATACGTCTTACGACGTAGTAAATAGCGCTCCTGCCGATAGTACCTTTGATAGTAATAAAAAGTAAGGTTTTGGTTTATTTGAAGTTAAGCACAAAGCTACACAATGGGCTATCTGTGCTTTGTCTACCACGGAATTCGAAACCTGGTTTCTAGCGTTGTAAGTCCGCATACATACCGCTGTACCACTGGGGAGCAAAAAGTAAGTTTAACACGATTTTGTATCAGAAAGTGTTTTTACGAAATGAATTAGCAATGAAATGAAACGTTGCTTTCATAGTTATTCATTGGTATAAATATTTGAAAAGGTTTAAAGTTTACTATTTATACCTGACCTTATAGTAAGTTATCATAGAAAAACCACGTTCGATTTTTCAACAACTTTCTGTAAATACATGATACGTACTCTAGCACTCTTCTTAATAACCCGTATTTATGAGAACTTATAACGCTAATATTCGGGGTCCGATAATTGCTATGACCCAACACAGGTAACTAGTCCTTTGCGCAACTTCGAGTTTAACAACGAACCGACGGTCTTCTTATTTGTGATATATGACACAAATCTGTAAAACAAACAATTTTTTACGTATTTGCAAGACACATTTCTACATATTTCATGTCCGTTTGTAAAACCAAAGTCATTACAACTTCCAGTGGCACAGCGGTATGTCTGCGGACTTACAACGCTAGAAACCGGGTTTCGATACCTGTGGTGGGCAGAGCACAGATAGCTTTGTGTTTAAATACAAATAAACAAACTTACCACTACAACTTGATCACGTTAATACCATTTTTTCTTTTTTCTTTATAAAATAAATATCTATACTATTTTCTTTACATACATATATATATATAAGGAACATTGTAGAGATTTATCATATATATATATATATGATAAATCTCTACAATGTTCCTTATCTATTTATGAGACAAATACTTCTGTAAGTTTATATGTGTTTGTGTGTTTGAAGATTAGTTCAGCACGTCTGCTGCGGGTAACCAATGGAAGAACGGGGTGGAGCTTTTAGTTTCCTTCTCTGTACAATAGAAATTTTTCTTTTTGTCAGAGAGCGCAAACAATAAAAGTAATTCAACTAAAACTTCCTAAAAAAAATATCAGAAACTAGGTCACTGTGGTATATAAGCAAAGTTCGAGCTCGAAAAACTTTCTTTGTTTTTCAGAAAGTGCGCAAGATAAAATTATTTTACGTTTGTAAAAAGTGCAAGATAGCTAACCAAATTTCAATTAAAACAGTGATAATTCAAAAATGGTTAAACAGTGAACTTAAGAAACAAATATCTGATGGAAGAGACCATCTTTCTGTTAAATAGACCAATGCTACATTTTCGGACATTGAAGAAACCACACCTACTCATGACAGAAACAATTCTTAAAGGAAAAACCAGACAGAAAGCGTAAATAATATGTGTGTATTTGATTTGGATGATCCAAGTAAATAGCAAAAGCATGCTCATCTATGTTTCTGTTTCAACTCATCATTGAGTGGCATTGCTAAAACATGTTTCACAGTTAACTGGGAAACTAACGTTTGAAACGCAAAGGGAAAATTAAATTAATACTGATCATACATACCGATAACAGCTGGAATAGGAAGATGCTCTAGTCTTCATTGCAGAAAACAAACATTCACATGAGCCAATAAAATAAAGTCACGTTCCCTTTGGATAGGACTTGTTGCCAAAGTGTAAAGTTTGATATTTATGACTTGCACAACTAGCATGCAACTGTAACATTGTGATCTAGATATGTCTCGAGTTATTCCGCAGCTACAAGAAAAGAAAACATTTCCTTTATCAATACAGCACAAACGAAGGTTTTCCAAACTCAAATAAATTAAAACCTATCTCAGATCAACTCCTACTCAAACAAGACTGGTTGAACGGGCAACAGTTTCAACTGAGTATGAAATTGTACAAATATTTAATATGAAGCAATCAGGGTGCATGCAATTTGGTAGTCATGTGTTAACTGTTACTGAAGTATTTTTTTTCAGGTTTTAATAAATCAGTTTGATCTCATTTGAAGGTTGTGATTTTTATTGAAAGTAAAATTGGTCATGGGGGGCAGCAGATAGGAAAATTGCCTTGGGCCACAAAACAGCTAGTGGCGAGCCAGTGCTTTATAATCAGCAAATAATCTCATTTCCAAGTACAAAGTTGGGTTAAATATAACAGTTGAAAGTAACATTCACACCAACCACATGCTATGATCACAAATAACTAAACACTGTCTTTGAGTGGTCACTTTAACACCAAATATGTCATTTAATTTTATCACGTTTACAAATACATCATTATAAATCTCTCTCAGTATTAATATGTATTTCGCAAATTATAAAGATTCGATGGTGTATATTTCTAGGTCAGGAGTGGTCAAGTTTTATAGTGCCGGACTATGTATCCGAAAATTCAAGATTCATGTCCCGTTACCGCAAAATCGCTCTCCGCAGTAAAGGCTGTGGGTACGATATGAGAGTGACGGTTCCATCCCACTTTTCGATGACGATGAGTGCTGTTGACTGGCTGCCTTCCATCTAGTGTATCAGTTCAAAACTAAAACAGCTAGAACAAATATTCCTTGTGCAGCTTTGCGAGAATATTCAAAACAATGCAACAAAATATAGCTTATAGTTATTGATATCATTCTATTAAACGCCAGTTTAGTGTTTTGATTATGATCACGGAATAAATCGCCCCGGCATGGCCAAGTGGTTAGGGCGCTCGACTCACAATCTGAGGGTCGCGGGTTCGAATCCCCGTCCCACCAAACATACTCGCCCTTTCAGCCGTGGGGGTGTTATAATCTCACGGTCAATCCCACTATTTGTTGGTAAAAGAGTAGCCCAAGAGTTGGAGGTGGGTGGTGATGACTAGCTGTCCTTCCCTCTAGTCTTACACTGCTAAATTAGGGACGGCTAGCGCAGATAGCTCTCGAATAGGTTTAAGCTAAATTCAAAGTAAA